TGAGGGTGAAGGGGGAGGGGATTGAGGGTGAAGGGGGAGGGGATTTGACGAGGGGGTGGGTGAATAGAGCAGTTAGTGTGGCAGGGGTTTCGTTGGGGGGATACTAAGGAGTTGTGGTTGCTGTGGGGGGGGGGGGTACCTGTGTGATGGGCAGGGCGGACGGTTGCTGGGGGGAGGCGGGGGGCAGGGGCTGTGTTGTAATTACCTGGCACTCCTCTGAAGAGACTTTGTTGGCAGGAAGGTCAGGATGCGTTCCACCACCTCCGCCACGTTGCTAAGCACCGAGCTCCCGCTCCTTAAGTGCGCGATATCCATCGCTGCTGAGCCGCAGAGTCAAAAGCAAGACCGCGGCCTTTTTCTCCCGGCTTCCGATGGAGGCGCCGCATCGAGCCCGGTCACGTGAACGAGCGTGACGACACAGACTGCGGGGCGGAAGTTCTCCTGCGGGGCGGACGTGGCCCCAGGCAAGGAACTGAGCATGCACTAACACATAGTGTCGGGTCTTAGGGAGCACATTGTCTGGTGCGCAAAACCGCCGTCCCAAGTGGCCTATGAAATTCTATATAAATTTGAAGTGTTTGTCTTTGTTGAAAACTGCTTTCACGTCTTGTTTTCTTTTGCATTCTTCATCATCCAACTCCAGTCTACGTAAACACTCCGTTGTCCTCAGACCCTTTGGCGCAGTGAATCTACCTTTGCAACCTTCGTCTGCTTTACACCCCAGCCTATGGTTTTCCCTCCTCAAACTTTGGTATCCTGCACAGCTTGTTTCCAATTCCTGCCTCCTGTTTCACTATCAGCAGCAAAGCTCTCAGCCGGTTTTGCACTACTGTCCTGGGGCTTCTGGATGTTTCGTGACTGGAAGATTTATATTTCTTTAGCATTTTACATGGCCGATGACATCTCAAAGTGCTTCACAGCTAATACAATACTGTTGAAGTGTAACCACCTGTATTCTTATCTGTATTGTAAGAAACACAAACTGATTTGTACACAGACAGCAATACGGTGATTTTCAGGAAATAAATTCTGGTGAGGTTGCTTGAGAAATGAACATCACTCAACAAGCTGGGGTACCTCCACACTCTTCTTCCAAATTGAGTCACGGGGTCTTTTACATCCACCTGAGCTGATAGTCTAACATCATGTTCGAAAGATACCAACTCCAGCAGGGCAACGTACCCTCAGTAACTCACTGGAGTGTCAGACTAGATTTTTGTACTCAAGCCATTGACTTGAAGCTGAACATAGAATTTTGTGACATTGTGCCACAAAAGATATCAATACATTATAATGTTTAACCTCACATTTGCCCTCTTTGTACTCCTTATGTGCCAGTAACAACATAATGCATCTATTAACAACTGTGTTTTCTTTTTCTTTTCATGGGATGTGGGAACCAGTGACAAGGTAAACATTTATTCCTTAATGCCCTTGAACTAGTGGCTTTGTTGGGACATTTCAGAATCAACCAAGTTGCTGTGGGTCTCAAGTAAGGCAATGATGGCAGATTTCCTTCCCTAAAGGGCATTAGTGAACCAGATGGGATTTTAACAATACTTGTTATGATCATTGTTGCTAAGACAAGCTTTGTATTACAGATTTGATTGGTGCATTTGAATTCCACCACAGGTTTTGAAGTTATGCCCTAGAATAGGTCCTAGCATACCTTGTGCACTCCTCATTGAATCCAGGGTTGGTCTCCTTACTTGATGGTGAATACGGTTGTAAAGGAATGCCCTTAGTTCTGGTGAAAAGTAATGAACCTGAAACTTTAACCCCGATTCTCTCTCCCCAGCTGTTGCCTGACCTGCTTGTGTTGATGGTACTGGTAGAGTAAGGGATATGAGGTTACAGATTGTGGTGCAATGCAGTGCTGCTGCTGCAGCTGCTGGTGACCCATCGCTTCTCATTTATATCCAGACTTGAGCTGTTGGATTCTAACTCTATCCTGTTTATCATAATGGTAATGCCATAAAACACAGTAGAGAATATCCACTGAGGGGATTTTATCTCCATTAGGACTGCAGTCACTCCTAACAATACTTGCCTCTATTGGTCAGTGCACTGAGTATGGGAGTTGGGACGTCATGTTGCTGCTGTGCGGGACATTATTCAGAGATAGTAGGAACTGCAGATGCTGGAGAATCCGATACAACAAAGTGCAGAGCTGGATGAACACAGCAGGCCATGCAGCATCATAGGAGCAGGAAGGGTGACGTTGTTCAGGTCACTTTTGGAATACTGTGTGCAATTCTGGTCTCCCTGCTATAGGAAAGACGTTGTGAAACTTGAAAGGATTCAGAAAAGATTTACAAGGATGTTGCCAGAGTTGGAGGGTAATGCTGAAAATAGGCTGGGGCTATTTTCCCTGGAGTGTTGGAGGCTGAGGGGTGACCTTATAGAGGTTTATAAAATCATGAAAGGCTTGGATAGCCCTAGGGTGAATAGCCTTGGTCTTTTCGCCAGGGTTGAAGAGTCCAAAACCCGAGGGCATAGGTTTACGGTGAGAGGGGAAAGATTTAAAAGGGACCTGAGGGGCAACTTTTTCATGCAGAGGGTGGTGCTTGTATAGAATGAGCTGCCAGAGGAAGTGATGGAAGCTGGTACCAATTACAACATTTATAAGGCATTTGGATGAGTATACATGAATAGGAAGGGTTCAGAGGGATGTGGACCAAATGCTGGCAAATGGGACTAGATTAATTTAGGATATCTGGTCAGCATGGACAAGTTGGACCAAAGGGTCTGTTTCTGTGCTGTATAATTCTATGATTCTATGACTCTAATATTAGTGTCTGGATTGTTAGTCTAGTGACATGACTGCAAAACCACTGTCTTCGCCTTAAGACCAGAGGAGGTCACTGAGGTCATAGGAGCTGAGGTCATGGAAGGATTTTTAGACAAGGCAAGGAATGACAGGCAGAATCATTTCTTTGTATTTTATACCATGATTCTGAGCAAAAAAACACTTGACTCAGCAAGTTTGTTAGATTTGGTCTTTTCTGCCGATTGGAATTTTTTATTGATTTAAGTGACTGAATAATAAATTACATAATAATCACATTTATTTCACTATCCTGCACAACATTGGAAAATGCAAAAGAATGCCAAAATATATCCAGAATAAATGACCATGATAAATACTGCCGTAAGATTGTTTTTAAACATTGTTATTTCTCTCTTGGTAGCTCAGCCAAGTCAACAGTTGTATGGAGACTAGGGACGTCTCAGATTCAATGTCAATCAATACTTTGTTAGCTGCATTAGCACTTTAGTTTCAAGAGCAGAAAAATATCTAAGTCCTGATTGCCATCCCATGCTGGGTATCGCATTGTGTGGATAGCTCAGTAAGCACAGGATCCAGTCAATCTGTAATAACCCTTGTGAGATCTCAGTAAGTACTGACACCCATGGCACACCAGGACACCATCTCACCCACTGTCAGAAATGTCCATTGGACCTAGAGTCATAGAGTCATACAGCACAGAAACAGACTCTTTGGCTCAACTCATCCATACCAACTAAATTCTCTAAACTGACTGGTGCCATTTGTCTGCATTTGTCCCATATCCCTCTAAACTTTTCCTATCCATGTCCAAATGTCTTTTAAATATTGTAATTGTACCTTCCTCTACCACAT